CAATATCCATTTCCATCATTGCATGCTCCGTATGAACTTTTAGAACTTATACACATTTTTCTTCTGTAAAAAGCAAAAAAATACAATGAAAGTAATAAGTAATCAACTAATGTATTTAGAGAAAAATGAAAATTTTATTTAATAATCATGCATTTTTGCAAAAATAATGACCATCGGCTGGCCACCTCTTTGCTACACAAATATTATATATAGCTCTCCAAATTTATTACCCTTGCAACTCTTCATTCTCTTTATATTTTATTATCATAATTATATAGCAATAAAGTGAACATTTCTCTCATAATTAATTACCTTGCAACTCTTCATTCCCCTTCTTTATTATAATTATTATAACAATAAGTGAATATTTATAAGTAGAGAGAGAATAATTAAGATTAGGAAGGAAATGAGAAGCCAACAAACGGAGAAAACAAACAAGTAGGTATATGATGATTAGCATTAGTATAATAATATAATAATATGATATATGATTATTATTTAATTAATTAATTTTTATTACTTTTTTAATTTAATATAGGGTTATTTTCGTAATTCAACTCTTGAGGTTAAGCTCTTCCCACTTATAATAATATATGATATATATATATGATATGATATGCATATGAATAAATGATATTTGAAAAACAACTTAGATTTACATAGTTCTCTCAGTTAAAAGTTCTCACATTTGCAAAGGTATCTCTTTGTTTCTTGATAATTGTTGCTCGTGTCTTTGATTAGCTTAAACACATCTCGATTAATTAATTGCATGTCAAAAAAGATAAAACAGATGAATAATCCTTCTTAGGCTGATTAATAGTAGTAGTGTAAACCATTGTGTCATCATTTGTCAACAAACCCATCAATTGTTTAATTAAAGATTATGACAAAAGTTTAGTGCGCTATACCTTGTTTCTCAATTATAAAAATAGAAAAGAAATACCCCATTGAGCATCTCATTTGACTGCGTTATCATCCATCATCTCTTTTAATTACTCATATAAACAAATGGTGTCCCCCATTTAGAAAAATAAAAAAATCATTTGGACAAAACCTCTTAGCCTAATAATAACAAAGCAGAGACATTAAATCTGCAAATTGCAATAATTGTTATCCTCTCTATTGACTCTTTCTTCCCTGCAAGAGAAATGGCTTATGCTGCTATTTCTTCACTTATGTATACATTGAACCAACTCTTGAAACCTAATCAATCTTTCGTTTGTCCATGCTGTACACAACAACATCTCGAATCTCTCTGTCAAAATCTTTCTGCTCTGCAAGATTTCCTCGACGATACTACCACAAAGGATATTGAAACTCTTAAGGTATATATGCAATTCATTAAATCTTACTGATGTTATATATATTCTTTTTAATAATAATTAATTTATCGATTTTCAATTTCAAGGTTGTAGAAAAGAGGATCAGAAATGTAGTTTACAAAGCAGAAGATAGAATTGATTCAAGTCTAAGAAGCATCATTCTAGCAGATCACGAGGTCAATCGGCAAAAGGCTTGTAAATCCTTTTATGAAGAATTGTTGAAAGTGGAACAACAAGTTTATTTTCTCAACAAAGAGGTGATGTTGATCGAGTTTAACAACCATGGAAGCAAATCTGCAGAATTAGCAAGAATTTCCTCCTCGCTAGAAAAAAGTACAATTGAGGAAAATTCTTTTGTTGGGATGGAGGATGACTTCAACATAATACTTGATCGCGTTACTACCCAAACAGACGAGTTAACTGTCATACCAATTTTTGGTATGGGCGGTATAGGTAAGACAACTCTTGCCAGAAAAGTTTATGATGATTCATACATTCGTTCTCGATTTGATAACAAGCATGGGTCACTATCTCTGAAGAATACAATGAGAGACAAATGCTCTTGAACTTGTCTCTTCAATTACTGGAAGCAAGCAAGAAACAAGCGATGATGAACTAATGGAGATTGTGTATAGAGGTCTTAAGGGTAGGAGATTTCTGATTGTCATAGATGATATTTGGAGTACAAAGGCTTGGGACCAAATGCAAAGAACATTTCCAAATGATGACAATAGAAGCCGAATTCTATTAACCACTCGGCTCAAGTATGTTGCTGATTATGTCAGTTGTCCTGATTTTCCACCTCATCGCAAGTCTTTTCTAAGTCAAAATGATAGTTGGAATCTATTCACCGAAAAATTATTCAAAAACGATCCGTGTCCTCCTTTACTTGTAGAAATAGGGAAGCATATTGTACGACAATGTCAAGGATTACCTCTCTCTATTGTTGTTGTTGCTGGACTTTTTGTAAAAATGGACTTAACGCATGACAATTGGAAGGAGGTTGAGGAAAATCTGAAGTCATTCTTTGGTACAGTAACCGAACGATGCCAATCAATTCTTTCTTTGAGCTACAACTACTTGCCCCAATATTTGAGGGATTGTTTTCTCTACATTGGATTTTTTCCAGAAGACAGAGAGATTGATGTTTCCAAGTTGATTAGGCTATGGATTGCTGAGCAATTCGTAAAGGCAAGAAGCAATACAAGGTTAGAAGTGGTGGCAGAGGAGTATGTACAAGAGTTAATTGATAGAAGTCTAATTTTGACTGGTACACATAGTCTTACTGGAAGGATGAAAACTTGCAAAATTCATGATCTTCTTCGCCAACTATGCATAAGTGAAGCTCATACGAAAAGTGTTGTGCATGTCATGAATGGGAATGATCAACATCGAATGATCCTTCTGTCTGAAGTTGAAGAGAAGCATGATTATGGTATGCAACATAGCAGTGGTATTATCCGCACCTTTATTTCAATGCAAGTACATTTTCCAACACGGATGTGTTCCATTGTTTCACAGTTCAAGTTGCTTAAGGTATTGGACGTGTTACCAGTCCTGTACGATTTCTCTTGTGTAATACCTGAACTTGTACATTTGAGATATGTTGCTGTAAGAATTGAGGAAGCTCTTTCACTAGCCAAAATGAGAAATCTACAGACCATAATTATTCGAAGGCATGTCTATCTCGGACCAACAACATTGAAGCAGCCACTAGATATCTGGAGAATGTCAGAGATAAGACATTTGGATATTGATATTCCACTATATATATCAAATCCTGATGAAGCAGAACAACCTTTGTGCCTTCTGAATAACTTGCAAACACTTTATCTCCGTAACTCTCCTTTTGTTGCGGAAATCATAAGAAGAACTCCCAATCTAAAAAAGCTTAAGATTTTAAATAGATCTAAGCATCCTGATTTTCTTGATTCTCTCAGTATGTTACAGGATCTGGAGACACTACACATAGAAACACAAGAAAACATTGATCCGATGATTATCTCAGGAGATATTTTTCTTCCTAATCTCAAGAAGTTGACATTAACACGTACTCGTATACCATGGGAAGTTGTGAATTTGCTGGCTAATTTACCGAATCTTGAGGTGCTCAAAGGGAATTTTGCATTTGCTGGAACAGATTGGAAAGTAGATGAAGATGTTGTGTTTCATAAATTAAAATATCTACAACTGTATGGGAACTATGATCTGAAAAGGTGGGAAGCAGCTGGTAGTGATAATTTTCCGATGCTTGAGCAATTAATACTGCATTGGGTTATTCAACTGGAGGAGATTCCGGAGAGTATTGGAGATATAATGACACTAAAATTCATCAAAATAAAACGTTGCTGCTCTTCTGTAGTAAATAGTGCAAAGAGAATTCAACAAGAGCAAGAGAGCTTGGGAAATTATGAGCTTCTAGTTCTAATCTACTCCTAAGGTATGTTAAAATTCGATCTTTGATTATTATTCAATTCTTAATTAATATGTTCATGTGCTCTTCCTATTTCCTTATAATACATATCAAAGAAACATTTTATTAAGTGATAGCAAGCTACCCCAACTCAGAGGAATATTTTTTTATGTAAAAAAATAGAATTTGTAACTTATTTAATAAATATCCTATCCAATATATCATGATTGCCATATTACCAATTTGAAATCTACTACTCCCTCTACCCTATATTTATAAGCATAATATATAAATATGTCCTTTAACTTTACCTCATTTTACATTTATGCCCTCTAACTTTGAGAATGCACAATTAATAGACACTCAAACTTGTATAAAATTAAACAAATAGACACGCATCCTACATGGCAAATTGTGTGTATTATGCCACATAGAACTCATGTGTCTACTTGTTCAACTTTACACAAGTTTAAGTGTCTATTTGTGCACACTTAAAGTTGGAGGTATAAATGTGAAATGAGGCTAAGTTAAATGACATATTTATGTATTATGCCTAATTTATACGATTCATTTACTTTTTTAGTCGGTCTAAAAAAATAACACATTTCTATATTTAGCGATAATTTAATTTTAAAATATTCATTTTATCCTTAGTGAAATGATGTACAGTCACATAGACATCTACTTCCTCCATTCCTATCCAGTTGTCACCGTTTTAGGTTTCACACCCTTTAAGAAACTAAGTAAGTTTGTCATTGTACCCTTATTTTGTATTCTCTTGAAGTTAAGTTTTCAAAAAATGAACATAAATTAATTTACTTTGATTAACTACTTTGACCAATAAAAATAAATTAATCACTTAGTTTTTCTATGTTGGATAAATGTATACTTTCAAGGTTAATAACTTTCAAAGGGTAAAATAGAAAGAATAATATTTTTTATGTATTCATTTTGTGAAATGACAAATATTAAAGACCATCTATTTTTAGTAAGGACGACATATAAATAGGAACAAAGAGAGTATCACTTATGTTAGACCATATATTTCAAAAGTCTTTTTTTTCCTTAAATTTTGTGTTAAATCAAACTTACTCATACATAATGGGACAAGGGGAGTATATATATATTTTTTCCTTTTCTAGCTTTGAATACTATAAATCATGATAATTGACAACATAAAATATTTCAAAAATAAATACATTTAAAAAAATTCGATTGATTCTTGAAATTAATCTATCGTTAAAATTTATGTATAAAATACAATAAATCGTGATAATTGACAACTTAAAATATTTATTAAAAATGCACAAAAAAAGAAATTAACTGATTCTTAAAATTAATCTATCAATGTCACATAAAATGAGACAAAAGTAGTAATATGTATTATTTAATGTCAAATTACTGAAAGCTACGTAAAATGTATTGTAAATCTTAACAATTAACAACATTTGATTAACTCTTGAAATTTTATCTATGCTACATACATTGAGACAAGTGGAGTAATATATATTAAGTATTTACAAATTACGTAAAAATATTATAAATTACATTATTAACAACTTAAAATATTTAAAAATCATATTAAATTTAAATAACTCACTATATTTTATCTGTGTCACATACATTAGGACAAAAAATAATAGTTATTGGGCCCGTGCGTAAGAGAGTTTATGCCCAAGTATAATATATAATATTCAATGACTCTCCAAATTTCATTTGTGTCACATAAATTGAGACAACAAAAATAGCATATATTTCGTCCATTTTAATTTATTTGTCTTAATTTTTTTTTTATATTTACAAATTGCGTAAAAATACTATAAATCATGATAATTGACAACATAAAATATGTTTTGAAAAAGATACAAAAATTCCATTGATTCTTGAAGTTAATCTATCGTAAAAATACTATAAATCATGATAATTGACAACATAAAATATGTTTTGAAAAAGATACAAAAAATTCCATTGATTCTTGAAGTTAATCTATCGTAAAAATACTATAAATCATGATAATTGACAACATAAAATATTTCAAAAATAAATACATTTAAAAAAATTCGATTGATTCTTGAAATTAATCTATCGTTAAAAATTATGTATAAAATACAATAAATCGTGATAATTGACAACTTAAAATATTTATTAAAAATGCACAAAAAAAGAAATTAACTGATTCTTAAAATTAATCTATCAATGTCACATAAAATGAGACAAAAGTAGTAATATGTATTATTTAATGTCAAATTACTGAAAGCTACGTAAAATGTATTGTAAGTCTTAACAATTAACAACATTTGATTAACTCTTGAAATTTTATCTATGCTACATACATTGAGACAAGTGGAGTAATATATATTAAGTATTTACAAATTACGTAAAAATATTATAAATTACATTATTAACAACTTAAAATATTTAAAAATCATATTAAATTTAAATAACTCACTATATTTTATCTGTGTCACATACATTAGGACAAAAAATAATAGTTATTGGGCCCGTGCGTAAGAGAGTTTATGCCCAAGTATAATATATAATATTCAATGACTCTCCAAATTTCATTTGTGTCACATAAATTGAGACAACAAAAATAACATATATTGGGTCCATTTTAATTTATTTGTCTTATTTTTTTTAAATTTTTTATATTTAAAAATTGCGTAAAAATACTATAAATCATGATAATTGACAACATAAAATATTTCAAAAATAAATACATTTAAAAAAATTCGATTGATTCTTGAAATTAATCTATCGTTAAAAATTATGTATAAAATACAATAAATCGTGATAATTGACAACTTAAAATATTTATTAAAAAAACAGAAAAAAAAATTGACTGATTCTTAAAATTAAATCGTGATAATTGACAACATAAAATTGTTCAAAAATGTTGTATGTGGGTAGTCTTATTGTGCCTTGAATAGCGTCAAAGAAAGTACAGGTTTGTGATAAAAAAACTTATTCCTTTATCCACGCAAACAATCGCTTCAAAAATTTCGTTATTAGCCCCAAAACATACCATTTATGTTATTGGGCCCGTGCATAGCACGGGCAACAAAATCTAGTACTTTATTATAAAAGGGAGTTTCACCAGCTCATGCAAACAACAGGTCAACATGCCTGCTTGCCTGCCGAGGGTAGTTGAGTCTTTTGAGCTAATTTTTTTTTTTCATTGGTTCATATTATTGCAGCTTTGTTTTCCTTCTACTGTAAAGACGTTTTTTAGACCTTCAAAGTATATTTCATTGCCCACTGTGGGCTTCACTTATTTTGACTTACATGCCACCTTTTTAACTATTGAAATTTATGGAGTAATATTTTACAATGTTATGATATAAAGTCAAAGGGAAATGGTTCCGTCTAGTGATATTGTATCGAAGGGAAATGGTTTCGGCAAGAGTTTGATTATTCTAATTTGATGAATTTTGATACTTGTGATTGATCTACTAGACACTTGTGATTAATCTACTTGATATGTGTGAATGACCTACTTGATATGTGTGATTGATATACTTGAAGCTTATTGGTTGTTGAACTGTGACTATTGGTCTGTGAGTGTTAAGCCTTGTGAACTGTATATTGTAAAATTGTTAGGTTGGGCTGATTTCTATTTAGATTGTAACACCCCGTATTGTAAAACTACCAAAATGCAAATTTTAGAAGTTGCAGGTGCAACCCACGGTTGTCACCTACGGACCGTAGGGTGACCCACGGTCCGTCCTGGTGGTTCGTGGTTCACCATCTGCAACCCTCCCCAGAAAAGCCCAGAAAATTATTCTAAGTCCAGACATATGCGAGGACCTACGGACAGTAGGTCAGGCCACAGTCTATGGTCCAGGGAAGTTCCCGACAGTTTTTAAGTCAGGGGTCGTTTGGTCTTTTCATTATGCATTGGACCCCTAAACTACATTGTTTAACCCTTAAACTACGTGGTTTTGGTCAGTTTTAGCCTAGTAACTTAATTAGAATCTACCCTAAGCAAATCATTCACCAAAATTTAGAAAACTTAGCACGCAGAGAGAAGAAAGAGTCGACCAACCCCTCTCCAAGAACGCAACAGGTTTTCATTAGTTTCAGCCCTGAAATCGAAAGATTTCTTCGTGAAAGTTGTCATCAGGTATGTGAGATTTCACTGGTGGGTTCCTTTCACCCATTGGGTCCCTAGAATTCAGTCATATTCTTGATTTCCTTCAAATTATCTAGACCACCTAGGGTTTCTAGAAATTTAGTAGATTATTATGAAATAGTTACTTTAATGTTCCTAATCAGATCATCATGATTTTAGTATTATTTTGCGTAGATTCTTTTATGAATTTAGAACCCTAGCTATGTAGTTATTTTAGTTCATGAATTATACATGTTAGGTCAGTTATTTTAGTTATATATATGCTTCAGTTTACGAATGTCATATTATCAGATATAATTATTGCATTCTTAGAGTTTGCATGTCAGTAAGCGAGCTATCCAGTATTACAGAATTCAGTCATAAATTGTTAATTACATAATCAATTAGGAGTAGCTTATGTAACGACCCTAAAAATAGATAGGTGAAACTAGAGCCTAACGTATGAATTTTTTAAGTTTAAGCATAAATTGGAGTTATGAAATTTTCCAAAATGAAAATTGGACTTTGCCTTAGTTTTATTTGGTAGGTCCATGTAGGCAAGGGGCATTTTCGTAAATATTAATTTTAGTTAAATTAAAAAGTGGGTATATTTTAGATTATTTCTAATTTCTATATATGGTATTAAAACTTTTAAAAAGGTTTGTTTTAATTCATTCTTCAAAAAAAAGGGGGGGTTCTCTCTAGAACACCATTGAAGGCAAAGGTCAAGTTGGAGCTAGGGTTTCGAATTGAAGGTTTCTTGCATCAAATTTTTGTGGGTTTTCTCAATACTAAGGTATGGTGGCTCTTTATCTAAAGCTAGTTTTCGCTTTAGAACCAATTTCAAAGGGTTTTCAATTCTCAAAAGTTATGAAAAACTTCTATTTGTTACTCTACTCAAGGGTTCTTGCATTA